AAGTCAAATATAGAACTTCATACACCCTAACTAGCGTATTTCCTACGAAAAAGGTTTCATTTCCTCGCTGCTATGAAAAATGCAAAAGTTGGTGAGTAATGTGAGAGTTTAGGCACCTTGGGCCTTTAACTCCCTCTTTTTGGGTGTGATGCATGCTGCGAATCCGACATAAATCGGTGGCTACGAACGACCACAATCATGAAATGATTCGATCCAAGTTTGAATATTGTTAATACCGTCTTCAAAGCCTACCAATTCCAGAACACTCGACTTCGGAAACGTCATGTCCGATGCATTTGCAACCAGGAACTACTGGACACGGATCTAATGAGAAGTCAATCGGTGCCGTTGGTGAAACTGATCTGAAAAATAAGAATGCAGCTAAAAAAAGAAGACAAGACTAGAGAAACATCTGAAAAGACTTACCTAACATCTCTATATGAATTGACACTAGCACAAATAAATACTATAAAACTTAATATCCGATAAGACGAAGGAAACTTTAAAACAACTTCTTCCACGCATGAAGAAGAAACACAACGCATTCCAGATTACTTTGATGAACTTAACCTGCCTCCCATCACAGAGGTACCTGCAATATTTAGCGTGCTAAGTTCCTAAAACAAACTGAATACAGCTTTTAAGGACAGCTGGCCATCAGATATAACGTAGGCACTGCTAGCAACAGGTGTGAAACACAGAAATAACACGGGGCGTACTGTAAATTCTTTACTTTTCTAACAACGCGAGCAATATTAACAAAAATTTTATATAACCTAAATGTACATCTAATGTCTCTTCTGCTTCCTATGAGGTACTGGCTGGTTTCCTGTCGGATACCGTTTTATGTAGTACCATGTACCAGGTTCTACGTTCTCCCTCAATCGATACATATCCATATCATCTTTCCAATACCTGAAAACTTCATAATGAAGAGGTACACGAGAGGAAACGCAAGTTAAACGATAGCAAAATAGACAGAATAAATGGACAATAAGAAGGCTTTTCATTCATCAATTGAAAAAATCAGTAAGCATAATTATCAGATAACGCTCTATAAGAAATATAGCTAATGACAAATTTTTGGGGCATGTTTGGCACAAAAAGCTCAATAAGAATTCGAACGCTTATGAAAAATGAATGCTAGAAGCATCGACCGCGCGTTTGCATGATCAATACGTACCTCCCCACACTCGAACAGCAAACCAAACTGTAAAGCATGATCCCTTATCTCGTAAATAACACTGACTGCATACATATATTGTACTCAACTAATGCAAACCACGTCACTACTGTTACCTGTTAAATCGTTTATATCCCGCTCTATCGAAGTCGGGAACGGTTTTGTCAGGGAATAGTCCAGCCCAGTGTGCTTGCATAACGCATCTGAACAGATTGATGATGAAGAGAAGGAGACCAGATACTCAAGAATTTCAGAACAAAGCGGCTTCGAAATCCGTTGAGAGTAGAAAGTAATATTAGTTACATTTTCAATAATAGTAACTACTATTGTGACTACAGTATTAATGAGAATAGAATAAAGAATGAATTCTCCACTGAGAAGGCTGCTTGGTCGAAAAAAAAAACAACGGAAGCAATTTTCCACAAAGCAATTTCCAGTATTACGCTGATAATATCAAGAAATTGTCCAGAGTCAATGCCCTCGGTGACGAGCTTCAAGTCTTTTCATTTTCATCATTAGAGCTAAATTCGCATAAACACGAATCCATTTCCGTTGACTGATTTAAGAAACAGTTAACTGTACCTCTCAAGACGCAACTGCTGCTTCTTACACAACCCAGTCAACTGGCGAGGGAGCACAGTACCATCCTCTCGCATAAACTGTTCAAGGATTAGAACATCACTGAAACAGTCACGGAATTTTTACCTCCTGAACATTGCTGCTCCACAAAAAAGTACAACAATCTCATTTTCCATTAAGCAAAACAAGGGCATTTTAATGTTTGATAGAAAATCACTAGGAAGCATATCACGATAGCATTATGAAGGGTTGGGTTTCAAAAATGAACCACATATGTGTTCGCGGATTCGAGCAGAAGAAAATAATAGCAAGTTTGACGAGATCACCAGGATGAGCGTTCCTTCCTAATAGTTAGCTTTGCCAACAACGTATGCAGAAAAGGCAGGAGGAACGTGGCACAGACAAAAACCAAGGAACCGATATCTGAAAGGACATATTACAGAGAAAGTTGAGATGAGGGGCGCGTTGCCGTGAACAAAACACCATATTGCAAAGCGCGATATTAGCAAAGAATTCTAACATTTGAGGAACAACAACGGTCGTCTCGTTAGATAGCTGCCATGGGCTACGCATGTGGCCACAAATGGCCTACTACATCGCCTATGCAGCTTTTCACTGACTAAAACTTTCCACGAGGTTACCATGGAGCGTGCGTTCGAAACAAAAAACTACGTTATAGACGACACAGGAGCTGAAGTCGCGAGAAATTAGAGCCCAAACCATCAATAAGACCAATAACAAATTTGTGAAAAAGAACGCTTTTTGAAGAGATCTTCTCTGAAACTGAAAAGCCGTATTCCATTATGACCTGTCTCAGTCAATATAGTCTGGTCAAAAATGGAGAATCAGAAAGCCAAATCGCTACAAAGATAAAAGAAATCTCACCGTACCTGTAGGATAATTTTACGGGTATATTGCATGTACAAAGAGCACAGTGAGAACTGGATGGCGGCACTGGTTCTGGCACTTCTTCCATTCCCACCACAGTTACATCATTTTCCACTTTTTCGGTAACTGAAGCACAGCCATTCATTAATAAAAGGTATCGAAGATCACAGAGGCATTTTAGCTCTTTCACAGTTATGACTAAAAAAATGCCACTACTGTATTCCTGAACGAAGTTATGCCAGATGTCAGACTTTGCGATTGGAGCGATTTTGCCACCAATTGCAGGAGCGACGGATCGCTTGAGCGATGCGAGCGACGGGAGATTTACGAACTGATGGCGCCGAATTATCGTTGGTAGGCGGTGTAAATCTCCCGTCGCTCGCATCGCTCAAGCGATCCGTCGCTCCTGCAATTGGTGCAAAATCGCTCCAATCGCAAAGTCTGACATCGGCCACTGAATTCGAGTCAAAAGGTAGGCCCACGATATAGGAAGACCAACAATGAAACTAATTCGGAACACTTGCTCAATTACTTGAGCATGCTCTTGAGTAACCGCGTTGGCTAAAGTTACGAAGTTATAGACTTAGACCGACGTCATAGTCGGCGACGGACCAAGCGATGGAGCGATCGCGATCGCTCCATCGCTTGTCCGTCGCTTGCCAATCGCTCTCGGTCGAGCGATTGCGCAAGCGATTGCGCAGTGCACAAGCGACGGGCAATGGCTCTGCTCGATCGATACCGCAGCCGACTGCATTGACTGGGGGCGGGGCCAATCGCCCGTCGCTTGTGCACATTGCAAGCGATTGCGCAATCGCTTGCCAATCGCTCGACCGAGAGCGATTGGCAAGCGACGGACAAGCGCGATGGAGCGATCGCGATCGCTCCATCGCTTGGTCCGTCGCCGACTATGACGTCGGTCTTATCGAGAAGGGCCATTCCAGTTAGCGGACGCAGCGGAGGTTCATGATGCAGTTCTTTCCAAAAAGCTAGGGTAACTCCGAGCCAGGGGAGCGTAGCCAGTTAGGGGGTGGGGGTGAGGCAGTCACTTGACATGCGTGAAAAGCTGGAATGTTCGAGTTCACACTAGTTCGCCAAAGAAGCTTGCATCATGATGCCCCCTAATTGGAATAGACCCTTTTGATGCATTGACGAAGTCGGTATTTCCAGGGTGAAAAAATTTTGTTTAGCAGACTTGAAAATTATGTGCTTTATCCGATAAACTTCATTTGGGTCTATTCCAGTAAGGGGGGGAGGCATCATGATGCAGTTTCTCGGTTAACTCGAACATTCCAGCTTTTCACGCATGTCAAGTGACTGCCCTCACCCCACACTCCCCTGGCTCGGAGTTACCCTAACTTTCTGGAAAAACTGCATCATGATGCCCCCCCCAACTGGAACAGATCCCTATTTCAAGAACAACAACATCATTCAAGAAAAAGCAGGATAGAAAGCGTGCTGCCACGCAGAGAACAAGGCTTCAGCATGTGTGGAAAAATCCATTCGCAAGAGCTTCAAATGGTACCTGTAACTGGTGAATGACTCACATTTCCATTTCTGCACACTACTTGAGGCGGAAATACTACGTACAGCGGTGAACAATTGATCCTTTCCCAACCGTAGCCGAAGTAGGCAAGGGGCTAAGACGGACATAACTGAAAGATCTCAGCATGAATTAACGCCCTATATATCTCACTCTGGAAAAAAGAATTGAAATCACGAGGTTACAAACAAAACAAAATCAGTGAGTTTATTTACACAACTCTTTTACAAAGCAATTACGAGGAGCCGCTACGCAATCACGCGCTGCTTCTAACGGAAATTAGCAGTAGAGCAGCACATTTAAATACATATGAACTTCATTGTTACCTTCATAGAACACTGTATCATGGAGAACACTGACCATTTCTTGAGTATCTTTCAGTTTTGTGTAAGGAGATGTCTAATAATGGTAAGGTAATGTCGAGGAGCTCGTGTAGCAGTTCGGGTGCTAACTTAGTTGGGGGGGGGCACGCGGCGGCGCGGCAGTCTGCTCGCCTGGCATGTTCGGAAATCCGTGGGCCAGGGGGAGTGTAGGCAGTCTAGGGGGTGGGGGGTGGGGGCAGTCACTTGACATGCGTGAAAAGCTGGAATGTTCGAGTTTACACTGTCTCGCTCGAGAGAGCCCAGGTGAGCAGACTGCCGCGCCGCCGCGTGCCCCCCCCCCCAACTAAGTTAGCACCGGTTTAAAGGAATAAAGAGCAACACCTTCTTTTTTCTTGAGTTGGAGAAATT